GCGGCGGGGGCGGGCAGGCCGGGGCCGGAGTCGCGACTCAGCACCTCCCCGGGCGGGCGGGCGGGGGGGGTGCGGAGGGAGGCGGCAACGCCGGGCGCTTCCGGGCTCCGCCGCCGCCGCTCGCAGCGGAGGTCGTTTCCCGGTTTGAATTTGGCGCCCGGCGACTCGTTGGCATCACGTGCCGGCCTGGCCCAATGAGGTGTGGCAAGGGCGGGGCGGATCGGGCCAATCGGCGGCGGCGGCGGGGGATAAGGATGTGCCGGTAGGCCGCCCGCGCCCGGTGGCGGTGCGGCCCCTCCTCGGGGCCTTTGCTCTGCCGGGGGCTGAGGCGCGGGCCCCGCTTCCTCTCCGCTTCCTCTCCGCTTCCTCTCCGCTTCCTCTCCGCTTCCTCTCCGCTTCCTCTCCTCGGCCCGGGAGCCCCGCCGTGTGCCCGGGCACCGGCCGCCGGGCTGGCAGCCGTCGGCGCCGGTCGCTGGGCCCGGGCGAGCCCTCGTGAAGAGCCGCGGAGTTTCACCGTCCAAGGGGTGTGACGGCACACGGGGGGGGTGGAGGGGGGCTCGCAGGACCCCCCGAGGAGGCTGGGCGTTCGGGAAGGAGTCAGGCTGTTGCGGGCTTACGCATTTGGTAAGAGAATGCGTTTCTCTGAAAAAGGTTCTCTTTGAGATTCCTTGTCTGTGCTCGTCTGCTTTGGGATGGAAAAGGGAATTCAATGTCTTTTCAACTCAAAGTTGTTCACTAGGTAAAAAAAAAAAAAAAAAATTGTGTAAGGTGTGTAGAGCACAGGAGGGAAACGTCAAGTATGTTCTGTATTTAAAAACTGCTGAAACTAAAAAGCAGAGGTAGCTGGCAACTAGAAATGGAAGGACTTCTGCTTATCTCAGCCCTACAATATTTCCTGGCATTACAAACCAGTTTTAGGGATTAAATTGAAAAAAGAAGCCAACTTTTTCTGACTTTCAATTCCTAAACCATTCTTTGTCTGTGACTAGGCTAGGTATTGAGCTAATGTGAAAATATTATTTCTTTGATTTTTTTTTGACAGCTGACTTGACACAGCTGGTTCAGTAGGTCAGCTACTTCCATTCCAATTTTTTTTTCTTCTCTCCCAGCACCTTGAATTTCCTTACAATTTCAGTAACCAAGCCTGTTCTAAATAGAGTTGGTTCTGTATTTCAGTATTTTAGTCAGGCCTTATCATAGAAGAATGTCTTTCAAATTACTTCTAAAATATTTTTATGAAGAAAAATGCCTATGTGAGTTTGCCTGTCTTGTATATTTAAAATATGTATTTTCATAAGAAACTAATTTTTCCAGTAATGTTGGGTCTTGCCCAAAGGCCAGTTCAGAACTCCTTTTGCAGCTGGGACACTTGGTTGGTTTGCATCTCTGTCTCCCCCAATGTATTTGGCTATTGGCTTCTATAAAGCTTTGGAGCGTTTATTTTGTTATGCATTTCTAAATCTGCCTGAAATTCGACAGAAGGTTCAAAAACTACTGGTGGGAAAAAGTCTGCATAGAGATGTGTAGGCTGTACTCTTGCATGAATGTTTCACTTTTGTTAAAAACTAGATCTGAGGTTTCCAAACAAGTTTGTCTTCAAGTCCATTTATTTGCCTTCTACAGATTTGAGAGCACTTGGGCATCTCCTAGGGGTGCTTTCCTTTTTCACCAGTTGGCTCTAGGAAGCATCATGAGGTTTCTAAGTGGTTTTACCCTACCTTTTGATGCCTCCGAAGAAGAAACCTACCCACAAGGCCAGAAAGGGAGAGCTGGTATTCCTTGAGAGGCCGCGAGAGGGACCCATCCATTGCTATGAAACTCTTCTACCTTCGGCCGAGAATCCAAGACGTGTTCCTACGAAACCTGTAGACCACACCACCTCTGCTGCCTGGGTTGGTACAGATTATCCTTTCTCCCGTAGGTCTCAACAGAAAGCTATCTGTTCTGGATACTAAAATTTAGTAGCACAGACCTGAATTCATTGTAGCTGCTTAAAGCCTAAGTGTGTGCTCTGGAGTTGCCTCACATCGTAACTGCAGCCACTGAGGTCTTGGTTATTTGAAGGCATAAAACTGTGTGCAGTGTGGACTGATTGATATGACTATTTGTCTTCTGAAAAACTAATTCCCATCAGGAAAATGCTGTTTTCTATGGCAACTGAAAATCCTGCACATAATAAACATTACGGGGAACTTCATTGGCTTGCTGCTTGAAATAACTGCTGAACTCTAAACATTACATGTTAAAAGTACTAGGTGTTTTGCTCTAAATTTGATGCTGCTAAATTTAGAGAACATAGGCTTTCACTTCAGGACTATTTGTTCTAACCTGCCCTCTTTTCCATTCTGAGCGTTTTGAAGAGTTTCTCTCTATATCACTCTTCTGATGGGCTCCTTTTCTGGTCTGGAAAAAAAAATATTCCAGGGACTGTTTGCAGTGTCCTAAGATACTCCTTATATCATGTAATGTAAAGATATTTTTAAGCAAACAAGTGCTGCGAAGACAGACTGTTCCTATGCAACAACAGCCATCACCTAGGGGAGCTCTGTTTAAGTATTATTGCTGCTCAACACTCTGCTTTTCACAAGGCAGGCTCAGGAAGCATGGTTTCAAACCTGCATAAAACATTTCTTTGTTCTTGGTGACCTGGAGTTATTTTTGTGATGCCTTAACCTTGAAGTAGAACATGTTCAAATTTTTCCTTTTAATTTTTTTTTAATATGCTTGAGGCAGTTAGCTCTATGGCTTCTGAAACACTAAGTAAAATAACTGCTGTGAATAAGCATTCTTTTTGTTTGCAAGAGGTGGGAATATCCACACTGGTACTTAGCCCTTTGATTCCAAACCTACAATGATTCTAAAATTTGTTTGAAGTGATCAGCACTGAAACTGTTAGAAACCATTTGAAAATCCTGGTAGGTTTGTAACTTCTTGAAGCACCCTCTGCAGAGTTTCTGTCACTTTGTTTCAGTGGCAACTGAGATAATACCGTAATAGAAGGACTTCCAGGTTTCCAGAATCTTTCAATGAAATATAGATTGTTGAGCTTTGAATATCTTCTATAGAAAGCTGATTTTAGAAGTGGCTTTTGGGTGATCTGTTATTCCAGAATACAGAGATTAACTATGTTTTGGAGTAAAGATGTTTTGGGGGAATATTGTGAAAGCCATATTAACGTAATCTAAGGTGATGGAGCTAAGTGGGCATCCTTTCAATCATTTTGTATTGCTCTCAGTTCAACCTCTACCCATTCAGGGAGACTGAGGATGTAGTTCATTGAATCTATTCAGAGTTACGCCAAGACACAGAAAGAAACAGGATCTAGGTCTGAACTGTTTTGAACCTGCAGGAGTTACAGGAGTAGACACCAGTTAGGCTTTTCTTTAAAACCCACATCTTGAGTTCTTTTTAAGTTGCCAGAGAATAGCTCACTGTGTGCACCCCAGTAACGTTTCAGAGAAGAGTGGCAGAAGATGACATTGAAGTTCAGAGGTGTGTCCTGCTTAGTACCCTGGTTAGTGACTGATCTGCTTTGCTGCAGACCAGATTACCTGCTTAATGAACACACTGAAAAAAGATGGGATAGGTGGGGGAGAAGAATCAGGTTGGCAATCCTTTGTCCGGAGAGAATTGTTGTTTTTTCTTACTATTATGTCTTTCCTTTCAGGTGTGCCCACAATTTGAAACAACTAAGTCAGTGGTGTTGACAGCATGCCAGAAGAAGCATCGTGGTCCTCACAAACCCCAGAATCAGGATGCCAGCCACGGTTTGCTTCATGCAGGGGGAGCTTGCCGAAGACCTATAGCCTGCAAATTTCCTCCTTTAACTTTTGAGACTCCAGAAGGGTATGCAGTCCACCCCTCGGATTGTCCGAATCGCGTGAGGAAGAACACACAGCACTCTCGCAGCCAGCCCAAGAAAGGGACAGCAGCGAAGGCCAACATCCAGGCGAACAGTCCGGAGAACTGTAGAGAAACACCTTTGTTGCCTGTGGAGCCAGAAGTCTCGAGCCCACCAGATGTGGAGACTCCACCGGTGCCTTCTGTGAGGAACTGGAGACGCAGCAGCGCTCTGCCGCCAAGTAGCCGCCGTGCCTGGCATCCAGAAAAAGATCTGGCATTCGGAATTGATCCCTGCGGGAGCGGGGAGTCGGGAGCCGTGCTGGTTACCGACACTCCCGAGCACGAGTACGGAGTAAGGGTTACCTGGAGGCGGCGGCCTCGTCTAATGCAATACCTGCGGGAGAGGGGGAAGCTGAGCGCTGCCGACATCCTGGTGAAGGCGAGCCCCGAGCTCCCCGGGAGACAGGCCGACGTCTGGCTCGGCGGCAGCCCTAACTCCCGTAGGTGCAGAGACACTTCCGAGTAGACGACGTCGCCTCCGGGGACGAAGAGGGGCGGTGATTCACGCCACAGCCCAGCGCTGCGCCTGGCTGGTCCTCCTGGGAAACGCCGCCACGGCGCGGGGGGGTGTTCTCTTGGGGCTGGGGGTACGTCGGGCCGGGCGTCCTGGGGGAGAGCGGGGTGGCTCGGAAGAGAGCTTTCGCCCCGGGGGCCGTTCCTCCCGCCCCGGGGGCCGTTCCTCCCGCCCCGGGGGCCGTTCCTCCCGCCCCGGGGGCCGTTCCTCCCGCCCCGGGGCGGTGGAGGGAAGGGAGAGGGCGGGCCTGGGCTCGGCGGGCCTGGCTCCGCGGATGTGCGGGGCTCGCCCCTCCCCGCCGAGGGGCGCGGTGGCCAATGGGCGGGCGGCGTGCTGAGCCTTCGGCCAATGGCGCCGCGCCTCAGTGCCGAGTTCCGTCGCTAAGGGTAGCGGGGAGGCCGGGGCCCCGTAGCAACGGCGGGGCCGGGGATGGAGAGCGCCAGGGGCCGAGGCGGCCCCGCCGGCGGCAGGTGAGGGGCGGCGGGACCGCGCCACCGCACG